CCCGTGCCATACATTTCCCGGCCTTAACACGCTTCCCGCGAGACACTCGGCGCGCTCGCCAGGCTAGGGCGTACACGCTGCTCGCGGAAGGGCGCGGGCGTTCGCAGCCCCAGCCTGCGCGCGTCCCCCAGTTCCGAGTCCCCGCAGTGACAGGAGGGGCGGGACAGAGGGGCAGATGGGCCCCCAGAAGACTCCACGGGTTCGATTCCCCCGCGGGACTCATCACAGGCTGCAATTCGGCTGGAATACGCTCCGGAGCTCAGCCCATCTCGGCTTCTCCAAAACAGTTCACAACGACCCGCTGGCCTTTCTACACCCTCTCCTTTCTACACCCTCTCCCAACGCCCGGCCTCGGCTCGGCCGTTTGAAACGGGCTTGAACCGGGAGACGAGAACTCAAAGTCCGCCACGGGCCTGGCAGGGCGGGACGGAGGTGGGGAAAGAAGGAGGTCGGACCTGCCTTCAGGTCCCTATGCACACCTGGAAGGGGAGCAAGGGGAAGAGCCCCCGACGCCACGCTGGGCCCCACTCTGGTCCTCAAGCCCGGGAGGCACGGAGGCGGAGGTTGCCAGGTTCCCGGGCAGCGAACGCGAGGCCGCACCGGGTGCTGGCGGAGAGCCCAGAGCCGCGCGTCTTGGCGACATGCTGGAGGCGGAGGTTGCCAGGTTCCCGGGCAGCGAACGCGAGGCCGCACCGGGTGCTGGCGGAGAGCCCAGAGCCGCGCGTCTTGGCGACATGCTGGCTTATGGGTGGCCCCGGCGCTCACAAAGCCTCGTAAGGAGCCCAGTGCAGTCCCCAGTGCCTGCGCGGAGGGCTCAGATGGAGTTTGTCCTGAAGCGAGAGGCCAAGTCACGAAGGTGGCTGGGGAAGGTGGCCCCAAAGCTTTTATAGTCTCTATCCCTGCTTCCCAAGGGAATCGGCCCTCCAGGGAAAAGAACTAGTATTTTGGGAGTGTGTTTCCTAACCACGACCTCAGGAAAATTGTTTTCCGGACACCTAGAGCCGGCGTCGTAGCCTCTGGTTCTCGGTAGCAGCTGGAGCTAGCCTGCGGTGCACTCGGCTGGAGCGCGTCCCGGAGCTGGAGTGCGTCCGGGAGCGCAGTGCTGTCCACGTCGCCCCCACACTTGTTCGACTCCCATTGCCACAGGCTGGCGCCTCTGCAAAGCTGTCACAGGGCTCCGGGACACCCCCCGGAAGTTAAGTGTCCTTCACTCCAGCTGTTTCCAGATCCTTCCTTACCTCAGAACCGCTGGTGCAACTGCGGTTACAGCTTCAAACCCCCTCTGGCTCGCTTGCTCCCAGGCCTCCTACCGCCCCCTCGCGGAGTGCGTGGAGAGCCCGGCTTGCAGAGCCCACAGCAGGTAACAAGCAGCAAAAGGCGTGGTGGCTGCGGCGGTGGAGTGAGACAGCTGCCAACAGCTGGCGCAGCTGCCGCGCTGCGCACGGGGACTGGCGAGTAAGCAGCCCAAGTACTGCCCCTTCCCGGTGACGTCTCTGAGGCGGGTTTTAAATTCTGGTGCGCAGCCTGCCTAGGGTCTGCTAACTCCCGAGCTGAGCACGACTCCAGCCGAGAGGCGCCTGCAAAACCGCAGGCGGCGGGGGCTGCGGCAGCGAAAGCGAAGGAAAAATCTCCAGCTGTACATCCAGAATCCTGGCCATAGACTCAGAACTTTTACAGGTCGCTCTGTGAAGGGGTCCCCTTTCGCCCCCAAGTCCTCACGCAGAACAGGGCTTTGCCTTTCCCGCCGCAGGAAGGGGGACTAGGAGTTGCACGCAGCAGCAGGTGCAGAAAGGCGGGGTCTCTTGCTTCCTAGAACCGTGACCGGTGGAATTTCTTCTTTTCCAGCTTAATGCAGGAGAGACGCTGTCTCCAGATTTCTGAACTCAAATGCTTCCTGAAGCTTGAAAGTGAAGGGATTCAGAGCCACCAGGGACAGGCAGACAGCGCATCTAGAAGCGTTTTTCTGCTGAGCGCCAATTCTCCTTCTGGCAAGGAGAGAGTTGTGCCCAGAAAGAACCTTCCGTCCTCTTTGGCTTAAGCGGGACCCTGAGCTCCAGACGCGCGCCTCAGTACTCTGCTGCAAAGGGGGCGTGTGTACAGAGAGGAGGGCTTTAGTGCTTCGCTGTAAAATGGATAACGTCCTCTCGGTGGACTCAGACCTTTTCCCAAACATCTCCACTAACACCTCAGAGCCCAACCAGTTCGTGCAGCCGGCCTGGCAAATTGTGCTTTGGGCAGCTGCCTACACAGTAATCGTGGTGACCTCTGTGGTGGGCAACGTGGTGGTGATGTGGATAATCTTGGCCCACAAGAGAATGAGGACCGTGACCAACTATTTCCTGGTGAACCTGGCCTTTGCGGAGGCCTCCATGGCTGCGTTCAATACAGTGGTGAACTTCACCTACGCTGTCCATAACGAGTGGTACTATGGCCTGTTCTACTGCAAGTTCCACAACTTCTTCCCCATCGCGGCTGTCTTCGCCAGTATCTACTCCATGACGGCAGTGGCCTTCGATAGGTGAGCTTGCCCTTTGTAGAAAAGGGAGAAAGTGTCCATAGAGGACCATGGCATTGCTATGGAGGTTTGGGGCTGGATCGTGTATGGTCCAGGGGAAAGATTGGCCACCGGCCCCTGCCCTGGGGTTTTTACTGACAGCCTGAGTCAACTGTTGATGGGAGACTTTATCTTACTGTTCTCATTCATCTTTTTTTCTCCCCTTTTCACCCATCACCAGTCTCCCTTCCTTTCAACACGCACCCCCTTTTTTCTTTATTTAACTCTCCTTTCTTCATCTCTGCTCCACTCATCTTTCTGATACTTTCCTTTCTACTCCTGCTTTTTTTCTTCCCATGTATTCCTTCTACTCTTACCCTTAAAGCCTGAAGAGGATATCCAGGGTTTGGTCTTAAGAAGCTAATCCCTGGCTGGGGCTTTGTAAATTCCTCCAGGCCTGCTATTCTGTTGGGCAGCCTCTTGTTGCCTAGGCAAAATTCCTCCTTTTTACTTTTTCCTGAAGATTCAGGGACTTTCTGCTCCCACTTCAACATTCCAGTGTTATTTGGATGTGAAGAGCATTTCATCAGAAACATAAAATACTCAAGATTCTAATTCAGCTCCCTCTATGCTAGGAGGTCTCATTCAGGAAGGACACTTCAACATTCCAGTGTTATTTGGATGTGAAGAGCATTTCATCAGAATCATAAAATACTCAAGATTCTAATTCAGCTCCCTCTATGCTAGGAGGTCTCATTCAGGAAGGAAAGACAGTTCTGCTGTTCTTAAGGAACTCCACAGGCAGGTATCCTGGTAGCTTACCCAGGAGGTTTTCTAAATTTCTCTTGTAATGTAAGGTCAATGTTTTTAGCCTGTCTCTATCCACAGAGAAACGTGTCTGGCAAAGGCAATTGAGAGCTCTTCTGTTCCTGCAACCAACAGGTTAGGGTTTCAGAAGCTGATTAAAAGTGAAAAGGTTGGAATTTTCAAATACTGGGGCTGGCGTTCTGGAATAAATGGCTCTTCAAGTGGCATGATGAAAAATTGATTATTAGAGCACATCTCTATTGGTATTGACTTTTTCGTGGGTGTGCTAGGTCTCTAATGTGTATGTCTGTGTGCACAGGTGTTAAATGTTTTCCTAGGATGTGGAGGTATGTTTAAAACACCTGCCACTATGATTTCAAAATGGATTCTTTTTATGTCCTTGCTGGGATAAATGAATGGGAGAAACCTAGTGAAGAAGCTAGGAGAAAACTTAAAGAATTTTTCAAAAAAAATCCCTGAACCACTAACTACTTTTGCATAAAGATTGTTTACAACTTGCAATTGATTCGAGGTCTTATTCAGCTTCTTCAGTCAATGAATGCTTTTATTGACTGAATAAAGGATAGGGATTTCCATCCTTTGCAGTGGTGTCCAAATGCTGATTTGTTAGTTCCATGTAAACCTCCTTTTATGCAACTCATAAGTGCTTGATATATTGTGTGTAAAACAAGTTTTGGTGAATCAATTTATATTTTAAATGTAGGCGGTAAACCAATTACTCAAAGTGATAGTAAAATGAATTACTTTGTAAATTTATCTTTATGCTCTGCTGGTTTTCAGATATTCAGTTTGCTGAAAATGAGTTACACCTATAAATCTGCATTGACTTTCTCCTTTAACTTCACAGCAGCTTCCTTAAACTTAAAAAAATCCATAGCATGACATATAGCTGAATATTGGTACAGTGAAACTTGATGGCATTTCAGCCCTACACATGTTCTCTTGATGATCCGTAAATTAGAGAGTATTTTTTTTACTGCATTGGGGCCTTCCATGAGCTCTAGGGAGACCTGTCAGTCAGTGTGAGCTGGAACATTCGGTAGCTGAATGGAGCCCCAGCAGACAGCTCTCTCCTGTTGGCTTTCACAGAAACATGTTCCACAGCCCTGCTTTTCCCCCTAGAACTTCAAAGGCTAGGGGTGGGAATCAGGGTCAGAGTCCTCACAGTGGATTGGGCAGAGAACTGGATTTCGGCTTCATTATTGTTTTTCTCTAAGAAAACCATGGCTAGACCCTGACCTTCTGTAACACTTGCTGCATGAGATCAGAGGGTCTCCAGTGCCAGAGCTAGTGAAAATGATAGCAATGAGAAATTCTTTCTTTCTTTTTCTTTTTTTTGTCTGCATGTTTCTAATGTACGAATACAGCCCAAGGAGGTAATCAATGGCATGCTCAAGGTTAGAATTCAAGACAGAGTTAGGGATGAGGCTTTGGGTCTCTGTTGCCAAGTCCTCCAAGTACTCCTCTTCCCTTGCACAACCTCATGAGTACACCATGAATTCATCCTTTCAGGCCCTCTGATGAATGTATCCCCTTGCGTGCTTGGTCATCTATACTCTCCCGATAATGTTTTAGAGAAAAAGGGGGGCCTTAAATTCTCTTTGTATGAGTTATCTCTTCCTTTCCCCCACATGGAAATGCAGACTTAGAGGAAATGTTAAATTATCTTTTTGTATGTTCCTTGAAGTTTTAACAGACAACCATTGAATCAAGTCTTAAAATATAACTGCAACGTGTTTTTCCTGATTATAATATTAAAACTTGCTCATTGAAAAAGACTCTGGAGATATGAAGAAGCACAAAAATACAAATCAACCATTACCTCACCATCCAAAAATAACACGTGTTAATTTGAATTTCTCTTTCATGAGTATATAATTGAGGTCAGATTCTGTATAATTTTGTAGCTTATTTTTTCCATTGATATGAATGCAAAACATTAATAACAATTTCCCATGTTATTAAAAATCTATAGAAACATAATCTTAATGGTTCCATATTATTCCATTATATGAATATACTATTATTTATTTAACCATTTCCCTACTGTTGGGTATTGAGGAGATTTCTTTTTTTTTTTTTTTTGCTATTATAATTAATGCTCTGATGAATATTTCTATATGATAAATTTGTTCTGCTTGATTATTTCCTTAGGATAGATTCCCAGAAGTGGATTACTGGGTCAAATAAAATTAATTTTTAAAAAATTATTCTTCCTAATTTTAAAGGATTTTTAAAGGAATCTTTGGGTCAAACTGTGGAGTAAACTTTGACGAATTTCCTTCTGGAACCAAAATGCAGAGAAAAAAACTTTAGCTACAGATTGCAGTACTAATTTAAATGCTTCCTATAGTCTTTCTATAAATGGGAATAACAAAGGAGAGGAGAGGAGAGGAGAGGAGAGAAGAGGGGAGGAGAGGGGAGGAGAGGGGAGGAGAGGAGAAGAGAGAGAGGGAGGGGAGGGATCCCATTTAGAAGGAATACATATTTTTCTAAGGCAGTGGTTACCTGGAATTTTAAAAGTTTCATAGGTGAATATGGCTACATAAAATCAGGTCTACGTCTAGCTAAACTCTAACACCAGGGATTTTACCTTTTCAGACTCTAAAATCTCTCCCACTTAAAATTAAAATTTTTTCTACTGTAAAAATTAAAGGTATGTGTGATGTTTCATAAAATTTGAAGATGGAGGACACTGAGAGGTGACACCCCCAGTTGGCAGGGGTCAGTGATGATGACTAGGTCCATTGTGGTGATGTGGGCACTACTGCAGAGCAGAATCTAAGAAAGGAGCAAGGAATCCAGTCCCTAAGCCCCCTAGGAGGAGGTGAAGGGCAACTGGTAACCTGATGCAGAACCACATGGCAAGAGCAGGCTCAGAGAAGCACTTGCTTTTGTCAGTGCTTCTCTATGTGGTAGGGGAGATACAATCTCAATAAGAAGAAAGGTGTAGGTTGCTTACTACTCAGATTGATTCTGGACATGTTGTGTTTGAATGAAAGGAAAGATCCAAATGGAGATAGCCTCTGGCAAAATGAAATATGGTCAGGACCAAAACTATATAGTTGCCCAGAATAGGGGTAATGGTTGAAGGCAAAAGAGGGAATGAGCTCCTTAAAAGAGTAAAAGAGGGACTGAGGTCAAAGACATGCATAAACAACAAAAACTTTGCCCACAGATCCTTGGTGTCTATCCCACTTTGTCCCAGCCATACCCAGCTACCAATTCAAACAGCCAACTTCTCAGTTCTCTGCTAGATCTGCTGTCTGCTCTTGAACCTTTACTTGTTGGCTGGACCTAGATCCCACTATCTACTTCAGAGCAGTCCTTCATGCCACCCAGAGGCAGGACTTAGATTCCAGGATCCTTTGCACTAATTCAGAAGCACCAGAAAACCCATGACCAAGCACCCCTGTGATGCTGAGAACAGCCATTCACTAGAAGCTCATCCACTACAACTGGACCCGTTGTTTCAAATCAGGAACCTCAAATGTCAGTGTTGATGTGGATCAAACTTGATTTTGTTACATCTTGGATGGGTTATTTAGGCTACACCAAAGAGATTCAATGCCCACCTGCTCTCTGGAGCTATACTGGCCATATCCTCTCCCTACTCCTGGGAGTGCCCAGTGTCCTGAACGGTCAAGGATATTGGCTTTAAAAAAATGGCAAAAACATAGGTTAAATTCAGGGGAAAATAAAAAGTAATTCTCAATGTAAAAATATATAGTAGGAGCACGAGACTTTGTTACTATTGTTACTGTTGAATTAGAAAATGGTAGAATGAGGATCGTGAAGGAGAAACACTTACTGTTAAACTTAGACAAAGACAGTCAATCCATTAAGGGACGATGCCACCAATGTAAAGTGATGTTTAGTGACTCAGATCCTCGTGTCTTCCCTCAAAAGGCTTATGCTATGTATTAGAGGTAACTTCAGTATAAGGAGTTCAGTGATGTGTTTCAAATGGGTTGTTCAGACAAATCCTACAGGAGAGAAGAAGAGAGAGGTCACAACCTGCAGTGATGAATGATCAAGGAAGACCTCGAAAGGTGACAATTGAGTTGAGCCTTAAAGATGAGATACAATTTTTGAAGATAGTATGTAACAAAAGTGTGGAGGTCGAAAGCTACATAGTGTTTAGGGAGAATGACTGATTCAACCAAACCGAATTCACAAGTGAATTAGGGAATGAG